GAAGGCATGCACATATTTGATGGAGGTGAAATGTAACTGGGCTCTAGTGTTTCTCTGAATAAACCACACAATGCCACATGAATGGACCCGTGTGGCTTCCAGCCACCAGGCACTCTCTTCTCTCTTCATCTGTTCTCCCTCTGCACACTTCCCCTGACAGCAGTTGATGCTGCTGTTCCATTTATCTTTCCTCACCAGCACGTTTTCACCCTCCTCCTGTGCTCAGCCTTTTTATAATCCCACTGTTTATTATTATTCTCTCCCTTGGGAACAGCCTGATGGTGGCTCAGCTTCCTGAAAGTGAATGGGAGTAGCTCTGCTGGCTTCCTGATTTAGCATCTTGAAACGGGGTCTGGCTGAAAGCCCATGTCAGCAACAGCCCTGCCCAGAGCAGTCCCTGCTGATGCTGTTGATTAAGCTGGCAGCTGTGACTCTAGGATGCATTTTTTTCCCCTGCCTTCCTCACCTTTCTGTCAAAAACCTGAGCAGCTCCCACCCTCTTAAATGTAGATTATACAGAAAAGAGAAGTGCTTGTCACTTCTTTGCATCCAAATACAGAATCCAGGGAGACAAAGTCTAAAATTAGAGTACATCACAGACAGCAGCATCTGAGTAAACTCATTTAATGTCACTCCAGCAATGGCCCCTAGGGAGGCTGCAAATATACCTGGAAGCAACTGATAATAAGTAACATATGAAGGTAGAAACAAAAATAAGCAAGCTATACTTTTCTCTTCATGCCCAGTAGCAGCTTTCTCCCAGTCACATTTTCAGGGTTTTTTTTTGGTGGCTGGGGACAGCACACAACTTATGCTCTTGAAGTGATATTTAAAGAAGTAAAAATGTATGTGTTGCCTACAAGTAGAAAGGGCATAATTTTGATGGCACATTTCTGTATCATATCAGGAGAGCATCACATGGCTTTGAGTGGGTAAAATAGATATCTTTAAGGCTTAAGATATTTACCACAAATTCTATTTTATGGTTTTCATATGCCATTAAGTTTCCATTACACAGGTAAATGAATTATACACAAAATTTCATAATTTCAGTAGGAAAATGGTCCATAGGTCTGGGTCCCTGATATTGTGCTGTCAACACACAAAAGAGGGTATTTAATCTAGTGCTGGCAGATTAACAAATTGCCTTGTCTAATATTACATTGGATGTCACAAAACTGTCAGGGAAATGCTAAAACTGTTATCTTTTAACAGATGCTGAAAATGAGCTGGCCTTTGGATTATAGGGCAATTTAATCCAAGAAATGTAGGGCAAATTTTTATTACTTCACTGCCTCAGCCTGCCAACTTTGGAACCATAATGAATGATAGGATAGCACCTTAATTTTCCTACCTTGCACCCACTGGCTGATATCCTGCTTCCCTGCTGATGCATTCAACATCATGCGCAAGGTTAAAGCTTTCCTTCCTCCATGCTTGAACCTTCATTTGCTGCTGGAGGATGCAGAAGCATCCCAACATCTAGCCAAGCCCTGAACATTGAAAACTGCATCAGCAGCAGCTGTCAGATGTTAAATGCTCAACTTTACAAGTATCACCCACATAGGAAGGGGGCAAAAGAAGGAAGGTGGGAGTACAGTGCAATTTACAGAAAACTCATAGAGATGCAATTATGTTTTGGCAAACCTAATTCCTACAGCCAAACGCAGGCGGTTTAAAACCTTTTTTCTGTACTTTAAATCCATGTTGTTCATAATAAATGAACTGACATCATCCCTTAATCAAATCTCTACATGATGCTGTCTGTTACTGTAGTTGTTATAGAGAAGATAAGGTTCTAACCAAGTTATGCTTGAAAGCTACATGATTTAATTACTGATGTAATATTGCTTCTTGAAGTAAGAGAGAGAGGATTTTTCCTCTCCTCTCTCATTTGGGGTTTGCAGGAAAAGCAAATCAAATATACAGGCTTGCAAACACCAAAGCAAAATAGTTTTGGGTTGCAATGAGCAACTCGCCACTCACAAGCTCCCTCTCTCTAAGCTGGGTCCTGTCCTGATCCACGATTCCTTCTCTGTCACATGTACTAAGGCTTGTTTTAGCAGATCTGATTGCTGCAGATTATAGCAGTCCAATTAACTCATGATAGAAATCAGAAGCCAGTTGAACCATTCTTCAATCTCATTCAAAAATCTTCTCCCTAAAGTTACATACTCAGCTCTCAGCCAGAGGAAATCCACTACAGAGAGCAGTGAAATTGCACTACAAGACTGACTGTTGAGACGTAGCTTATGTGCAGAAACCTGCATGAAGAGTCTGTTATAGCCTGAGTGAATGTGAAGCAGCTGATAGTTGTTTGCCAGGCAGAGAGTCTGAACTGCAGTTCTGCTCAGTCCTTGATAATATAGTTAATTTCTGGCAAGAACATAACCTATGGCAAACCTGGTGCCATCCAGCCCTGCATCCCTTTCCTCATATCTGTTGCTGTTGACTGAATGTGAGTTACTGGTGTCATCAGAACCAATACATATTAAACAGCAGTGATTCAATGACACAGTGCTTGTACCTGCAGCAAAAGACAGTTATAGCCAAATCCAAATGTCAATTCAAATGATAGCTTCAGGAAAAAAAATCTACCAGGAGTACTAGGTATGATGGCTAATTTAAATCAGAATTAGATTATTATCTGTATTATTATGTCTCTGAATGACACTTGGAAGAAGATGACATTTCTCCTTTCCTTAATGTTTTGCTCTTAAGGTAGGTAGAAGGAGTTTCTGTTTTTGGACACACAAATAAGTCTCTTGGTTTAAACGATGTTAGCAGAGCTGGCTTAGCAGGCCTACTACATTTGCTTCCCCTTTTGCTTCTACACAGACAGTTGGGACTTAACCTTCGTTCCAGAGAGTGTATTTAATTATTGTCAGTTGCTCGTGGAAAATCCTCAGTGTTATAAAACTCTTTTGTTACCACTAGCCTTACAAGGTTAACTTTATATGGGGGGGTCTTGAGCCTACATAGAGAAACAACACTTTTGCAAGATGCATGTGTGCATGGACACACACCTTCTTGCCACACCAACAGTACTTCCAAAGTGATTGCTCCCTGTCAACAGCCAACTTTCCAGTCTTTATCAAGCTTCCAACTTTCAAGAAATCCAACACAATGTTAATTTCCTCCTTATTTCATTTCCAGAGTGCTCTGTGATTCCTCAAGGTTTCATGTCTCTCTGTAACAGTGGTTCTGTGACATGGCCCAAAGTAACTATGAGATTTATGGCAGGCCACAAATACTGGGAAATAAAGCCAACCTGGAGTACCATTTTAAGCACATGTGAGGATTTAGGCAGAAGCCAGTTTAAAGATACCCCAGTGCCACTCCGTTGCTGTCAGCTGTGGGCTGTGTACGGACCACTTGACAGCTGAAAGCTGTAATGCTCTAGGTGACATGTCTGCCACAGAAATGTTCACAAGATTAATGGACCTACTGCAGTTGTTTGATATTCTTTCTGCCAGAGGATGCTCCTTTTTGCAGTTATGGTACTGGATTATCCTCTTCTTGATCTCTGTTATTTTAAAGAGGACATGCACATCTCAGTTTAAGGATTGCATGAGTTTATGAACACCTTTGGTTGTTGTTTCACCTGAAAGTAAAATGGATAGATAACTTTTTTAAAAGCAGGAGGAGAAATTGCTACCCTGGCCAGTATTTTCTCTCTAAAACCTGGAAATTACTGTAGCTTTGCATGAAGTGGAATAAATCTGCCTTGATTAGCTTTTGTGTTTTATTAAATGTTTTGGGGGAGCAGGACAGGCATAGGTGGGATGTTCCCCATTAGTCTGGGTTTCAGAGAGCTCCTTTGACCTGTGCAGGCATTTTGTTCCTTGAAGATGCTGATTTTTCTACCAGAGTTCCCATGTTGCCACTGAACTGCAAGTAACAAAGTTGAGCAATATTTTTCCTGGAAACTGTTGTCAGACCAGCTCTGGGAGTTGGGTTTTTGGTTTGTTTTGTGGAGGTATTTTAGGGTTGGGGTGGTGGCTTGGTTTTTTGGGGGGTTTGTTTTCTTTTTTTTCCATAACGCTTTTAGTCTTTTGTTTATTAGGAAATACAATTTTTCAATGCACAGTTTTTCACAGCACAGGCTGTGGGCCAGGTGCTATTCCACACAGCACTCCTCAATGTTTCCTTTTCCTGGAGAATGACAGGAAAGTGCTGAAACATCTCAACGAGAGAAGTTTTGCTTAGTCCTTCAAGGGGTCTCTAAAAACTTTGGGGAATTAAAAGAAACAAAGCTCCTGGCAAGATCAGCGAAGTTCTGCTGAGTATCAAGAAAGAGAAACACTGGCTAACGTCTTGTATCTCATTTACCATATATCACAAAGGAGGAGGGCAAAGGGTTAGTGGGAGCTGCTTGTAATTGTAGGTTTCAAAGGGTGTGATTACAATTTGTCTCTATTGTGAAAGCCCAAGTTTGGAAATAATTGCTTTGTTTAACTTCAGCTCTGTTCCTTTTGCACTGCATTGAAAAACACTCAAGGATATCTTTAGAGCTGCATATTCACCAGTAACTGGCAAACTGACCCTTGCACATAGGACCAGCACTCCTGAGCTCAGACTATTTTCTTTGAGTGAAATACAACCAAAAGCTTTACTGATGGAATTGAAACCTGAAGTATATGGACAACAGACAGCCCATCAACAGCAACACAGGGTAGCTAAGCTAAAGACATAAATAGCATTAGCAGCCTCAGTGGAGTATCGTGTCTGCTGAGCTCTCCTTTCACATTTGCCTGCTTTTAGGAAGGTGGAGGTTTTAGCTATATCAGTTACTGGTGGCTTGTGCAAGCATTGTGCAAGTTCTTGTAAGTAGAAGAAACTCACCATGTATCTTTCTGAGATATGCCTGAGATATTTCCTACAAAGGAAACAAGTAAAACTTTGGAAACCTTATTCTGGCTTAAAAAAAGAGCCATGCTATTCTTGCTCTAACCCTCAGTGTTCCCTTTCCACTAGGGTAATAAAGTAAACACATAATTTAGTGATTAATTGTGTTACTCTGGCTGCTGACTGAATATTCACCTTTTTTGCTTTCTCCCTTCACAGTTTACCATTCTACTGTATTCAACAAAGCAGTTCACTCCAAGTAAGAGTCATTCCTGTTTGTAAGCCTAGCAGAAGGCCTGCATAGTACAGGCATACAGTCCATAAATACCCACTGTAACTAATTTAACTTAAACCTTCAACTTATATTTGCTTGTTGGAGAAATAAAAATAGATAAATCGCTGTCCTTCAGCTTTAGAAAAGCCAGGGCAAACTATTCCATCCAGACTATCCACTGTCCCAGTGCAAGATGCAGCCAAATCCAGCTCTCACAGAGGTTTCACTCAGATTTGTCCTGTGCCTGCAGCTTCTTCACATGGTCCTCCAGAAGCCTGGAGTCTGTTTTAAATCTCAGGCTGAGCTACCATTAGAATTTGCAGTTCTGCTAATAGCCTTTATTCACTCCCTTTGTTTTTTATCACACACCTGGGAACCCAGACTTTATTGTTATATCTCTACTGCATGCCAATGTCTCCTGATTCCTCAGTGCTTTGGCCCTTTACCCATCTGGCTGCCTTCAGTTCTACACAAGAGATATTGCTTAGGGGCATAGCAGCCAGGTGCAAATGACTACAGCTGGCTCAGTGGATTTATCTGTTTTTGTTGCTGTTGGGCTTATTCCCATCACCAAGGACTCTTTGATGCCTAGGTTACAACACTTACTTTTTCAAATTTAAATCCTGTTCTAGTGTCCAAGAGCAACAAAAGCCAGCAGCATCACAAATGATTAAGTACATTTCTGTAGAATGAACTCTACTTGCATAGTAAAGGTGCAAAATGAATGTTTCAGGCAGAGGCTGAACCCCAGCACCGATGTTCTGCTGCTGACAGACCATACAGCAGGATGATATGCCCACAAACAGCAGACGTGAAACTGGGCTACAACCAGTCCAATGGGCTGTGCAGGGAAAGGTTTGCTGCAGGCATCTGGGGCCACAAATGGCTTTGCTGTAGTGTTAATCACTTTGCAGTACAGTGCACCATGCACTTCAAAGTACTCCTGCAAATATTAATGAAGGCTCAAGACACCTCTCGTTTATCTCTGTTTTGCAGATGGGTAGGATAGATGGAGACCTTTCAGGGACTCCCTTGGAGCTGCACTGAGGCTCTACAGCATAATCAAGATTAAAACCCTAGTAGTCATTGTGTCAGCCCAAAACTGCACTGCACTGCTGGACCAAGGAACAGAACTAAGGAGTCTAGTTTATCAGCCTCTAGCCCTTGGGGGCTGACTAGGCACCCTTGCTTATAATTAAGGGTAATTTTAGTCAGTCAAAGTTGTAATTTATTACTTCTCTCCTGGTTTATTTTTCTTCTCAGGTTAGGGGCACTTAGGAAGATTGTTTCGTGCACAGTGTTTGTGTCATTCTCTGAAGCCAAACGGGAAGTACATCCCTACTTTGCTTCCACTCCTATTATCCATGCCAGGGAATCTTTAATACTTGATCTTTCTTGAGTTCAGCATTTTCCTCCCTTCTCTTTTTGTGCTCGGAGGAAAAATAAATCTTTTTTTTAGGATCCGTGCAGAGCAACCATGTGCGTTTTCAGCACCTAGGAATCCCTGATCCCCAGAGAGCAGCCTAATTAAACATGAACTCACTCCCTCACCCAAGCTCCATGGCTCAGCTGCTATCATTCTGCTGTACTGCCCCCAGCCAGGGCCTGCTGCATGGCAGAGCAGCTAGTTAAAGATGAAGAAAAGAGGCTTTATTGCCTTTGGTGTTCACACATCACAGCTGCCATTCTTAAACCACTTAATGACTGTTTTTTGCTTTTGGTGGATAAGGACTATCAGGGCAATGCAGTTTCTTTACATCTTTCCTGTGAATAGCCTGATTGCATTTGGGGGACTGTGTATGGAAATGGCTCTACTTAAAACACAGGTGCTGAAAACAACCAGAATGAAGTTGCTAGAGCAGGGAACACAGTTCCAAAAGGGCACGTAGTCAGATGCTCATGCTGCAAAGTCAACACCATAGGAGTCAGGAGGTCAAGTTACTACAGACTGTAGCTAACCCATTTCTCCTCTCTGCTCATTGTCTATCTGCTGTCATTTAACTTGTTTTTGTTGATGACTCTTCTCAAGCTGCCACCACTCTGGATGTAATGAAATATCTTTTGAAAAATGAAGTTCTTGCTATATAAAACACTAAGAAAAACACATCCAGCCATCAGACTCTGACAGTCTCCCCTTTCTTACCACAGGCAGGCATTTAGAAAGCTTCTCCCAGCTGGGCAAGCTGACTTTGTTCAGGAGAGAATGTTGTACTGCTCTTCTCTTTTGCCCCAGAAGCAATCCTTTAAGCTTAAGGAGGAAAAAGAAAATATAGATTGTAATCTTTTTCACATAGCTGCTTTGCAAACTGTTTTACAGAGTTACTTACAAGGAAAACAGCTGAAGATGAAGAGGAAGGTGAGCAGATAGTGAACACACACAGTTTTGCTGCCAACGTATCAGGATGTTCTGGGAAAATCCCAAACCCTCATTTGGCAGAAACAGAGGCAAGTAACGTGCCTTATGGGCAGGAGCACCCAAGGTAAACCTGAAAAGATCTGGATTGCCGTGGCTCTGTAGGATTAAGCATGAGTAGCTACCCATTTCAGTCTGGATCTGCTCTCTGCCTTATAGAGCCACAATGCTCTGGGCAATGCCAGTGTCAACTGGTAGCATGGCAGGCATGGAAAGTGACCCTGCTTGTGGGCAGCATCTCATCTCTGGTAACATCTGTCTCGGTCACAAGGAGGAGCACTTGGCCTCAATTTAGCTAATGGAGATGCGCGGTACCCAGGGAAGTATATTAGACAGTGACTTCTTGGTCTTGCTCTTGGTTTATTCACTGCTGATAAGAAGCTTATTTTATAGGAGCACTGTGGGCTCGCCAGTTCACTTTCATAAGCCAGTATTTGAAATAAATGCTGCAGCTGTCTATCTGAGAATAACTGTGTTGCTGTAAGGTATCTTCCAGCATACTCTGGAAGAAGAGTGCAGACATCCTCAGAAAGCACCATTATAATCCTGTTATAGTGCTCTTTCTGCCAACCATTCCAGTCCCTTTTATACCAAAGGAGTCACTTCCTGTATGTGCGTGCCTAGAAACAAATGCAGGGAAATCCTTTCAAACCATTTGCAGGCTTCTTTCCAACATGCCTGAAGTACACAGTCCTGCTTCAGGAACATTTATGCCTAACAATGCTGAAAATTTCCAGTGCTGCATCTCGCCATTACATTGTGAGGTCTGCTCGGTGGCTTTGGAGAATTCAGACTGAGATCCTTGGGCTGTTTGTTATCTCTTTTTCATTTCTCACCCACTGCCACCAGTGTCAGGTTTAGTAGATACAAAGAATGGAAGAGCCATTTAAAACTTCCTCTGTTAAAGCAAATCCTGCCATCACAGCAGGTCCACCACTTAGGTCTCATGGTTGTGCCTAGGAGAAATATGCTCTGCTTTTGCCTATGTTCCTTTTATCCAGGGTCAAGTAGTGCTTTTTAATCACTATGACTGATTGATTCATCATAAAACTCCCTGAAAATATGCTAATAAGAGAAAATTCAAGCAGCAAGTAAACAGCAGAATGGCATTGACATAGGTGGAAACCTTTAACTGCCTTTTGACTACTAATCAAACTGTGAGACATAGATTTCTGTTTGAACTATTCAAAGTCAATACTCTTAACCCCGAAACACTTAGGGGAAAAAAATGCCAAGAGACTCATAAAACCATCACTGCAGTATTTGCATTGATAATTTTAACTGGCACTTTGCAGTGTGGCATTTCATTCGTGTGCTCAAGGCAAAAAATCTATCCCCAAGTCAAAAAACATTAAAGTAAAAAATGGGTTTCAATAAAACAGGGTATAAAAACAAGAAATAACTGTAAATGTAATTGAAAGCAAACTGCATAAAGCTCCAGAGTGAGCTTTTCCCTTTCCAGAAACCTTACCTCTTGCAGCTGCAATGTGATCAGTATTCAAACCTACTTTCTTAAGAATTTACTGCTTATGGTAATATTCAGTCATCCTTCGGTCACAGCCGTTTGCCTGTTCATTTCCATATCTCCTAAAAATTAACCAAGAACAGATATTAAGCCATCCTCTTCTCACCCTCTGATCTACCAGCGCTGGAATGAACAGAACAGACAGTTTCTAGATTGCAACAGTGATGGAACGTGGGAAGTGGTATCTAAGGAGCAGAACAGGTAAGAGAGGAAAAGAACCTCACTGAAGACAGGAAATGTAAAATGATTTGTATTCCAGCAATGGGTTTTCTCCCCACAGACACAAATGTTGGAGTTCAAATGACTGCAAAAACACCACTACCATGTAAAAGTTGGCTCTGCTATGAAAAATGTGAAGTGACTTTTCAATGCAAATTCATAGTACTGCCAAGGGGGAAAGTGCTCTCCTTCAACATTGAAAAAGGCAAAAAGAAAATAGTACATTTCACCCAGAATCAAGTAAACAAACAATACAAAACATTTTCACATCTGCATCTCACAGAGCTGGCACGTTCCACTGAGCATCAGTGTTAATGATACCATTGCTTCATATTTCTATTTCTATGAAATGGAAATCAATCTAGCATAGAGAAGTCTGCAACTATTGTAAGGTCATTGAATTTAGCTGCTTCCTTAGCTCTCTCATCTGACTCTTCACAGTCCAGGTTTATCCTGCACCCTGACTCTTCTCTGGGACGGTGGGGTGCCTTGCAGCTGGGTATCGTGTAAAGCTGCCCCTAGCTGTCTCTTATGTGAGATAAGGAGGAGATGGGGAGAAAAAACAGGGAGTTGCACTAGCTCCTGGGACCTCAGCTGCAATGAGGAGTCTGTTCTCTTAGATGTAGGTAATGGTACCAGTCTGCACAGTACCAAGGTGCTAGCAAAGTACCTACTGAAGGGAGACTTTCTTATGAGAAAATGATTCCAGTCTGTTCACTTAAACTTAGTAATACAGCCTCTTCCATTGCTAGTTCCCTTCATACTGCAGTTTTGCTTTTGCCATTGAAAGAGACTTTTCCAATGCCTGTTACTTCAATGGCTGAATGGTTCCCTCAATTTCTGCACTTGAATATAAACTATTTCCAAATAAAGATGGCACATAATAAGCCTTAATATGAATG